CAATCCCCAGTTCTACCATCCAGTGTTAACTACTTTAAAATTTTATTTTGTTTTATTATAGCTGTCGACCAATATAAAAGATGAGAAATTTAGCACTTCTTCATTGCCTCCTTCCTGACTATTTTTAGTTCTCTCGTGGTTAAGTACAAAGCTTAAATAATACAACTCTTATTTTTCTTTTTTATTTATCATGTGGTAAAAAACAACAACAACAACTATTAAATTTACCTACCATCTTAACCATTTTAAGTAAAGTTCAGTAGTTAGTTAAGTATAGTTCAGTAGTTAACTGTATTCATATTGTTGTGCAACCAATCTCCAGAATTTTGCATTTGCAAAACTGAAACTCTATACCTGTGGAACAACTCCTTATTTCTCCTCCCCCCAACACCTGGCAACTACTGTGCTTCTTTCTGTTTCTATGAATTTGACTACTGTAGATACCTCATGTAAGTAGAATCATACAGTATGTGTCATTTTGTGACTGGTCTTTTTCACTTAGCATCATGTCTTCAAGGTTCAACCATGTTGTAGTACAGGCCAAATTTCCTTACTTTTTAATCCTTTGTGTTTATATATCACTTTTTGTTGATGGACACTTGGGTTGTTTCCACCTTTCAGCTATGGTGAATAATGCTGTCATGAACATGGGTGTCCACATATCTGTTGTAGTCTCTCTCTGCTTTCAGTTCTTCTGGATATATACCCAGAAGTGGAATTGCTGGATCATATGGAAATTCTGGTTTTACATTCTCACCACTTCTGCACAAGGCTCCTATTTCTCCACAACCTTGTCAACATTTGTTATTCTGTTTTTTGATAGTAGCCATCCTGATGGGTGTGAAGTGATATTTCTTATGGTTTTGATTCGCATTTCTCTAATTATTAGTGATGTTGACTATCTTTTCATAAGCTTGTTGTTCATTTGTATATCCTCTTTGGAGGAATATTTGTTCACGTCCTTTGCCCATTTTTTATTCAGGTTATTTTGTTATTGTTCCCTGCTTTTATTTTTAAATTAGTAGTTTTAGATATTGACTCCCCACTAGGAAAGAAACATTTTTGATTTCACACTTCCTTTCACTTTCTCTATATCTTGATTTTTTCCTTTAGTAATTTTTACATTTTAAATGTTTATAACATCATTCTTTTCTTTAACTTGTAGATTTTCTTTAAAGTGATTTTAAAAAGCATTTACAATGAATGCTTATGTAAGTATTATACACTTGAGCCAAGCAGTGTGATTAGATGCTTAGAGAAAGAAAATTAATCTTGTGTCCATAAAATTTCTCTTTTTAAAGGGTCCTCTTAACTTTTTTTGTTTGGGGCCAGTATGTTTTCTGGGTCAATTTTATCTCATTTGTTTTCAGTCATCTAGGACTTTCTTTTATTTTATGATCTGCTGCTGGTGCCTTTTTTGTTTTTTAAGGCTTTGATAATTTGTCAGTGGGCCCTTAGGATGAAAGGTTGTAGATGTGTGTTCCCCCTACCGTATTAAACAGAAGCATCTGTGTGTTGTTTTTAGAAGTTTGGATTATCTGTATCTCTCTAATGAGGTTTTACTTCTATTTAAAGTGTTATATGAATACATAATGTTTTAAAAATTTATTAAGCGTATAGAGTGGCTATTCACTTAATCCATTAAATCCTTATAATACCATATGAGATATTATTTCTATTTTATAGATGAGGAAATTGAGCCACAAAAAAGTAACTCCTGTTACATAGCTGGTAAGTGATAGAGCTTGGATTCAAACTCAAGCATCCTATCTTTAACTTTCATGGTCTTAACCATTATACTGTGGCTACATCTTATATGCCATTCCTCATGCTTTCGTTAGAGTCTAACATGTGACACCTCCCTTGACTTAACATATATTAACAGAATGTCTACTCTGGACCAGACGGTGCTGCAGCTATTGGTGATACAGCCATGAGCAAAACAAAGTGCCTCCTCTCATGGATTTTATACTTATTTGGGGGAGACAGACTATAAAATATGTATAATTTATATATGCTAACAATGTATTTTCTCTGAAGAAAAGAAAAATTAGCTTCATGTACTAAAGTAGGGTAATTTAGTCTCCAAAACAAGGATTACGTTTTTCATTAGCCAGTCTCTTAAAAGTGAGATTGACTGTTTATATTCATTATGTTTTTGTCAAAAATTATCATCCGATAATAGCTATGCATTGAATGGATACTGGTGTGGAAAGTGGTTTCTCAGATTAGCATGTAGGAGGTTTATTCAGGAGTGCTCTTGAGACTTACAGCTGTGAAGGGAAGAGAAAGGAAGGAATCACACTTAGGTCGGAAAAAAATCAAGACGCCCTAAAGTTTCAGCAGAAACCTCAGTGGACCCTCCAGGGAGTTCTGAAGTTGAGTTGACACTTCAGAGCTTTCTGGAGTCACATCTAGGACTTTTATTACCCCCACATCTAATCAGTTATTGGTTGTGGGCTGCTCTAGGAAGGGTATGTGACCATACTGAGGAGTCAGATCTCTGAAAGAGGCTGACAGCTGGGGATTGTTTACTGGTAGCACTCTCAGCGGTTGATGTAATAAATGTTCCATTGCTAATGGGGACTGCTGGGGGTGGTGGGGTAGAGAGGGGGAAGGTCCAGTCATAACATCCACCCAAGAATCGTTAAGAGATTTGGATTTGAATTCATAGTCTCTTTCCTAACTGAGACTCTCGCAAATATTCCAGAGTTAAAAGTGTTTTGCTTTTTAAATCTGTAAAATAGGTTTGTATGTCTCATTTGATGGTTATTTTGAGGATTATATAAGGTAAAGTTTGTTTAGACATCTGGAACTTAATGGAACATACTAAGTATTTTATAAATGTTTATAGGCAAAGGAAACAAACAGTGACGTTTCTTTGTCAAAAGTGTTTTTTCTGGAAGATTGGTTTCTCCTATAAAATCTACATTCAGTTAAATATTTGAGTCCCAGTTATATTAATAGTTATATGCATATGCTAAAAAGTCAAAGAATTTTTGTTTTCCAGTGTATAACTTAGTTGAAGATGTGTTATCAGTATATAATTAGTTAAATAACAAAAGATGGAACAGAAGATACTTGTTGAACAGTTTTAGAAGTAGAGGACATTGGGCTTGTGTGGTTGAAAAAGTTTTAATGGAAGTTGATGTTAAAGTACCTGTTGAAGATTGATTCCCACCTCCATCCATAAACTGAGTCTTAAACAGAGGAAATGTTGGGATTAAAACTTGGATCATCAAGGTCTTATGTGTTGGAGTTGTGAGTAAACCAGATAGATGTCTGCAGGAGAGTATTTGTATTGGGAATGGTGGGATCAAGTTGAGAATAAAGATTAGAACCAGATTATCAGGAGTTTTAAATAGCACACAGAGAGCTGGAATTACAGATTTAGGAGACCCCCTACATAGTGATAATAGTTAAAACACTGAATGTGAATTAG